CATCAATCTTTAGTCAAAATATCAAATGGCCTGAACGACAACAAAAGGCAAACATGGCTTGGCAACGTGTTAACGAAATGAACCGCGTGTAATTTCTTCCTCTTTGACGCTCGGTATGTAAATAGGTAAAAATCGAAAGAAAGATGTTTGAACTTGAACGTGTGAAATCCACACCGTTTTTGTCCACTGTCATTGAGAATCTGTGATTCATCGTTTATACGAGACAAGAATCACTTCCTACTAAAACAAAAATTTAACTTAGAATTGATTGAATTAATTTCTTCTTGTATCTTGATTTTTTATTACTCTGTGCAAATGAACTACTTGATACTAGTTTCATAGCTACGATATATCAACGTAGTGACGTGCAAATAAAATAAAAGGTTAGTACGTTCAATCAATTAAAGTATTTAACGTTAAATTTGTTGCTTTTGCAATTATTAGAAGCACAAAGTTGTTAATTTCCGCCATGCTGTTTAGTACGTATTAAAAGTAGATAGACATATAGATACGTGGTTTTCAAGTCACAAAGGTTTTCGATTCCCTTCGTTGGAAATATCTAACGAACAAAATTCTTCGTCGGAAATTTTTTCGTCTTTTATTGAGAATTTTTGCAGACACAGGTAGTAAATAATTTGCCAATGTAAATGAACTGTATGAATGATTCATGACGAAACTGAAATATCCAATGGCACGGTCGTTTAATCGTCCCTAAAATTCTCGAAAACAATGGTTCACCCAAAAGCAATATAATCGATATGTGCAATAAGTGAAATACATTTCTTTACGGTTGTAAGTGAGAAGCGTCAAACGTTATTGAAGACAAGCCCGTGGGTTCGATTTTATCATAGAGAAAAGGTCGTGTTCACACGTGAGCGAAATTACTAATGTATTCTTTGACATGAAAATTTCTGTTTAAAATTCAGAGTAGGTTGTAGGAACAGCGATATTGCTATGGCCTCAACAAGAAATGCGGCTCAAGCTGGGAACAACAGCGAGCTGAGCGGAAACGAATCGACAGTTTACCTTGGGAAAGCATCCCTTGTCACCAGATCCGGTACTGTAATCGAATATTTTCTTCATTCTGTGCAATAAAACGTATTTCATGCTGTGGATCATTTATATCGATTTCCATATTTAAGGCCAATATCCAAGGCATTGAAACAATCGAACGATAAAGGAACGAAATAAAATGGAACAATAAGTTCAATGAAATCGGTGGAGTAAAGATTAATAAATGGAAATGAATGGAAGTGATCCCATATTGGAAACGATCTGTTAAATTAGAGAGGCTCGATAAATATGATTGCGATATTCGAATAATTCTTGTGACTTCTGTTCGAGATTTTTCTGAACTGTGCCTTTATTTCGTTAAAAAAAATACCGATATGATTTATACAATACCCTGGTTCATACGTTCATACATTTTTTTAAATACGTGTATTTGTGATATTACTAATGTACATCCTGTACAGATGATTATTGTTAAGATGAACAAGACACATTAAAATATTTTATCAAAACTGATATAGATACTCTGTGTATAATAATTAACGTCGGCTTAATAAATAAATTCTATTACAT